GTTGTTGCGCTGCGGAGTCGGAAGGAGTTTCGCCGTTGTTGTCTGTGTTTACTGGGATTACTTTTGACGCTACTGCTCCAGGTGAGGAGTGTTGCGCGTCGTTGGGCACTGATCCGTTGGTGTTGGATCGCCGGATTGATGAAGTTGAAGGGGTGCCTCCGCCTATGGCCGGGTGTGTGAGATTTGGGTTTGGCGACAGTGACAGTATTACGCCACGCTTGTTTCTGGCCGTGGCCCTGCAGACGGTTGACCAGTTGATGGAGAAGCAAAGTACGTTGTTCAGCACCGAGCAGATCCAGTTGTTGAGTCACGATGTTCATCCGACCGTGAGAGTGGACTTTGAAGGCGCCACCAAGTACAAGGATTTCTACGAAGCTAATGTCGAGCCAGATCGAGTTAATTGGGCTAGGCATACCTTGCTGATGTTGGCTGAGGATGGTCAGCTGGAGGGTCCGTCAATCGCTCCGTTGAAGACGTCGATGGGGAGCATGTGCCAGTTGCGCGACGCTCTGTTGGAGTCTTACAAAACGCTTGAGCCCTCTGGCAACTACAAGTCACTCTTCTGGAAGGGAGTCTGTCGGCCTATGCTTTGGACGAACACCAAGGGCCGGCTGATGGCGGCGTCCGACGCCGTGGTGCGTAAGAGAGGTTACGTGTGCTCTCGGTGCGAATTAGGTGGGGTGGTAAGCCTTCCCGCGTGGAACAGTGTGATCAATACCGCAACACAAGACAGGTATGGCTGGCGTGGTATACCCTGGCGTGATTTCATGCCTGAGGACCTTCGACTCCCCCTCAGGGAATGGGTAGCACGTGGCGGAGAGTTCACACCAAGGGGACAGTGGCCGACAGGGAATGATATGCGGTTCGTCTGGCCTCAGGAGATCGAACACGCCAAGGGGCGCATCCAGACTGAAGCCAAGAAGCAAGGCGTCAAGTGCGACGAGTACCCGTGGGAGGCAACGTTTATGCCACGTGATGAATCCATTAGGTGTAGCGGTGACAGGGCAAAGGACGGCATTTATGCAACCATGCTTAATTACCTTAGAGTCTGGCGCGTCGCTAACCTCGGCGACCTAATCAAGTCCTACCGTTTCTCGATAGACGTCATCCATCCGCTCGAGATGGATGCTCGCCGGCTCATCTATCAGTCAAAAGAATCAGGTGATAATTACTACATCGGCAGCTACGCACAAACCTACGTTGTGCTCGAAGGCGCTGACAGTGCCGAAGCCTCCAGGCTGCGCCTTGCTACTGTCCCCTACTGCCTGATCGCGAAAGACTCGAAAGACGCCTCGGCTCGACAAAAGGCCTTCTGGAAGCAAGTAAGAATTGACGCAGGTTGTGACGTGTACAAGTAGACGTGATGACGGCTACACTTCATCAATTTCACGGCCGACCAGCTAAACCCGTTTTACATTAATGGTAGAACCCGTTTCACGAAAGCCATCCATCTCTCACACGCAACCCTGCACCGATCACCCGCCATGAAGACACTGTTCTCTTCACCGCACACCGGTCACTTACTACACACCGGTCACTTACTACACACCGGTCACTTACTACACACCGGTCACTTACCACTTCGGGGACCCTTCAAGGAATACTACAGCAGCAAGAAATAAGCCAAATGTGTGCGATACAAACACGCGCGCGCATTCCTTTTTATTGATTGAAATTCGCTACAGTTATTCTTGACCATGTCATTACAGTGTGTCGAACAATTGATGGACGCCGTTGGTTAATTTCTCGGGATCAAATTCAGTTTGTTTGATATGGCGCGTGTGTTCGTACGATGACCGTCGGTACTGGGAG